CCTCAGCCTCCCAAGTAGCTGGGACTACAGGCGCCTGCCACAACACCTGGCTATTTTTTGGTTGTAGCCGTCATTGTTGTTTGGCGGGCCCAGCCTGGATTCAAACCCACCACCTTAGGTGTATGTGGCTGGCGCCTTAGCCACTTGAGCCACAGGCACCAAGCCGAGTGGAGCTATTTTAAACATAAATATTTTTAAAATTCTATTTTTGTATTACTTGAAGTTGACAAACCTTTGTTAAGAAGTACCTACATTTGGGCAGCACCTGTGGCTCAAAGGAGTAGGATGCTGGCCCCATACGCCAGAGGTGGTGGGTTCAAACCCAGCCTCAGTAAAAAACTGCAAAAAAAAAAAAAACTACCTACATTTAATAATGTCAATCTAATTATGTTTAACAATTCTTCGTGCTATTTTTTTTGGAGCTGGGGTCTTGTGATGTTGCCCAGTCTGATCTCAAACTCCTAGACACAAGTGAGATCCTCCTGTTTGGCCTCCAAAGTTGCTGGGATTACAGGTGTACATTACTGCACCAGGCTCTTTATGCAGTTTTTTTTTTTTTGAGACAAACTCTCACTATGTTGCCCTCAGTAGAGTGCCACAGTGTCACAGCTGACAGCAATCTCAAACTCTTGGGCTTAAGCAATTCTCTTGCCTTAGCCTCCCAAGTAGCTGGGACTACAGGCATCTGCCACAAAACCTGGCTATTTTTTCTTTTTGGTTGCAGTTGTCATTGTTGTTTGGCAAGCCTGGGCTGGGTTTGAACCCACCAGCTCCGGTGTATATGGCTTGCTCCCTAGCCATTGAGCTAAAGGTGCTAAGCTGCTCTTTATGATTTTAAAACAAGTTTTTGCTAGGGCAAGCAGAAAATCTCCAATCTAGTTTATAAATAATTCTGCTTACATGGTGTTATTTATAATAATTTAAATCTCTGGGTGGCGCCTCAGTGGGTAGGACGCTAGCCCCATATACGAAGGGTGGCAGGTGTTCTGGTGGGCGCTTGTAGTCCCAGCTACTTGGGAGACTGAGGCAAGAGAATCGTTTAAGCCCAGGAGTTGGAGGTTGCTGTGAGCTGTGATGCCATGTCACTCTGCCAGTGCAATAAAGTGAGACTCTGTCTCTAAAAAAAAAAAAAGTAAAAAAAAAAATAATTTAAATCTCTGTGGCCCTTGCTTAAGCCCATTACCTCTTCCTATTCTTTCCTCAATAAAGATAAATAATAACTGACTAATATATTCTATGTAATACAGGTCCATAATCCCTTTCCTGAAATCCTTGGAGCAAATATATTTGGAATTTTGAATTTGGGGAATTTTAGAAAAGTAATACAGAAGATATTTAATGTATCCATATACAATATCTGGGGCTATACCATAGAATCTATAATCCAGGCTCGGCGCCTATAGCTCAACCGGCTAAGGCGCCAGCCACGTACACCTAAGGTGGCGGGTTCGAATCCCCAGCCCGGACCCGCCAAACAACAATGAAGGCTGCAACCAAAAAATAGCCGGGCGTTGTGGTGGGCGCCTGTGGTCCCAGCTACTTGGGAGGCGGAGGTAGGAGACTTGCTTGAGCCCAGGAGTTGGAGGTTGCTGTGAGCTGTAATGCCACGGCACTCTACCCAGGGGGACAGCTTGAGGCTCTGTCTCAAAAAAAAAAAAAAAAAGAATCTATAATCCAATACATTAATATATCTGTGGTAAAATGTTGAATATTTATACTGTGTTGTATATATAGACTATAAATAACATCACGTGAGTTTGGTCATTTTTGCCACCACATTAGGTTGCCATAGTACATTTTATCAGAGCTTTTTGTATTTTAGGGTGTGGATAAAGGGATAGTACATGTTATATACTATGTTGAGGACTTTAATATTTTAAAGTCCTTATTAAGTCTATTTATGTATACTTTTTGTAGTGACTTAGTGGTAAGTTTGGGGGGGTTGTTTGTTTGTTTGTTTATTTCTTTGCTTATTTTTTGAGACAGAATCTTACTCTGTTGCCCTGGGTAGAGTGCGATGACATCATAGCTCACAGCAACATCAAATTCTTGGGCTCAAGGGATCTTCTTGCCTCAGCCTCCTGAGTAGCTGGGACTATAGGCACTGGCTACAACACCTGGCTAGCTTTTCTATTTTTAGCAGAAATGGGGTGTTGCTTTTTTTTTCTTTTTTTTGAGACACAGCCTCAAGCTGTCCCCCTGGGTAGAGTGCTGTGGCATCACAGCTCACAGCAACCTCAAACTCCTGGAATCAAGTGATTTTCTTGCCTCAGCCTCCTAAGTAGCGGGGACTACAGGTGCCCGCCGCAACACCCAGCTTTTTTTTTTTTTTTGGTGGTTGTAGTTGTCATTGTTGTCTGGCAGGCCCTTGCTGGATTCAACCCTCTAGCTCTTGTGTATGTGGCTGGCACCTTAGCTACTTGAGCTACAAGCAGCAAGCTAGGGTGTTGCTCTTGCTCAAGCTGGTCTCAAACTCCTGAGCTCAGCAGTCCTTTCGCCTCAGCCTCCCAAAGTACTAGGATTACAGGCATGAGCCACCACACGTGGCTAGGAGTAAGTTTGAATGAAAATATCTTCAGTATTTTAGTTCAGAGATGGCTACCTGGAACCATTTGTTGGGATTATTGGACCATCATGAGGCTTCATGAGAAACAGTAACAGGATCAATTTATAGATACTGTGGTTGCAAATGTACAAAGCGGCAACATACTTATCAGGTATTTGTTATCCTTGATGCATATCATTGAAGGTAATATTTTTGACTCTTTCTATCCCAGTCCTATGTGTGTGGTTTCACGTGTATGCCTTTTTTTTTGAGACAGAGTCTCACTTTGTCACCATCAATAGTGTTGTGGCATCATAGCTCACAGCAACCTCAAACTCTTGGGCTCAAGCAATTCTCTTGCCTCAACCTCCCAAGTAGCTGGGACTACAGATACCTGTCACAATGCCTGGCTATTTTTTTTTTTTTTTTTTGAGGCAGAGCCTCAAGCTATCCCCCTGGGTAGAGTGCCATGGCATCACACTCACAGCAACCTCCAACTCCTGGGCTCAAGCAAGTCTCCTGCCTCAGCCTCCCAAGTAGCTGGGACCACAGGCACCTGCCACAATGCCCAGCTATTTTTTTGATTGCAGCCATCATTGTTGTTTGCTGGCCCGGGATGGATTCAAACCCGCCACCTTAGGTGTATGTGGCTGGTGCCTTAGCAGCTTGAGCCACAGGTGCCGAGCCAATGCCTGGCTATTTTTAGAGAGGGGGTCTCACTCTTGCTAAGGCTGGTCTTGGACCCGTGAGCTCAGACAATCCACCTGCCTCTGCCTCCCAGAGTGCTAGGATTATAGGTGTGAACCACCACCCCTGGTCATGTATCACTGTGCATTTCAAGTCCAATATGCTCCAAGATAATTCTGCCTCTTTGGGAAAGTATAAAAATATGGTACTGTTCAGGAGATTTTCTATTTTTAAATTAATCTTTAACAGGTCTATGTAATTGCTGTACAAAGACATAAAAACCACAAACAATCTTTGAAGACTACCACCTGTTTAGAAGAAAGTGTCAGAAATGGATCATATGCATCAGACGGACTGCTTGAGTTAGTCTACACAGATCTTGGCACACTAAGCAGACTCTGGCTTGCTGCACTTCAGGATTTTGCTCTCTTAACTTTGCCTTCAGAATTTGCCTCCCAACTTCCTGCTGAGGGTAAGGAGGTAAAATATTTAGATAATTTCTCCAGTGACAGTAACCTGTATTTTCAAAATTTCTTCTTTACCAGGTAACATTCATCTATCTGAAACATTCTTCTCAGAATATTTTTCACTCACAGAATGAGCATGCTCAAATTGATTTAGGGTAGAGCCCCAGAAGTTCAGTCACCAGATCATTAGGTATTCACATCTTACCTCACAAGTTATTGCAAAATTACACTTTAAAGAGGTTATAACAAGTTTTTTTTAATACAGACAGTGGTCCTATTATGTTGTTCTTGAACTCCTGGCCTCAAGCAGGTCTCCCTCATTGGCCTCCCAGGTACTAGGATTACAGGCCTGACCCTCTGCAATTGGCCTAAGTTGCTTCTTCGACAAATAACCAGATCACAGTACTTGCCCATTTGCTATTTGGTGCTTATCATGTTCTTATCAATTCAACAACCTTTTATGTACATAGTTTGATAAATTTTCTCCCAGTATGTAGCTTGTCCTTCCTTTTACCTTTTAAAACTAATGTAATCAGTCATTTATGGTTTGTGTTTATGTATATTACCTGATATTTTTTTTTTCCTTAAGACCATAAAGATCTATCACCTTTACAATTTTGCCTTTTGCAGAAGTGGAACTTTAACCTTTTAGTAGAAGTGGAATTTGCTTTATATGCATAGAATGAGAATAGGGATCTAATTTTTAAAGTTTGTTTACTAATACTGCAGATTATGGGTTAGTTATTTGCTACCCACTTTCTTTTTTGTTTTTTTTTCCTTTTTTGAAACAGAGCTTCAAGCTGTCATCCTGGGTAGAGAGCCATGGCATCACAGCTCACAGCAGCCCTCAACTCCTGGTCTTAAGCAATTTTCTTGCCTCCACCTCCCAAGTAGCTGGGAGAACAGGAGTCAGCCACAATGCCTGGCTATTTTGTTGTTGTAGTTGTCATTGTTTGTCAGGCCTGGGTTAGATTTGAACCCACCAGCTCTGGTGTATGTGGCCACTTGAGCTACAGGCGCCAAGCCGCTACCCACTTTTATTCATCTTCATTTGGTTCCCAATGTCTTGGCTACTGTTCTGTTAATTTTTTCCTTTTTTTTTTGAGTCAGAGTCACACTGTCATCCTTGCTAGCATGCTATGGCCTTATAGCTGGCCTCACAGCAAACTTTAAACTTTTGGGCTCAAGCAATCCTCTTGTGTCAGCCTCCAGAGCAGCTAAAACTACAGGCAACCTCCACAATGTGGCTAGTTTTTCTTTCTTTTTTTTTTTTTTAGAGACAGAGTCTCATTTTTTTGTCACCCTCGGTAGAGTGCTGTGACATCACGGCTCACAGCAACCTCCAGTTCTTGGGCTTGGGTGATTCTCTTGTCTAAGCTTCCCGAGCAATTGGGACTACAGGCACCCAACACAACGCCTGGCTATTTTTTTGTTCCAGTTTGGCGGGGCCAGGCTTGAACCCACCATCCTCGGTATATGGGGCCAGCCCATACTCACTGAGCCACAGGCACCATCCTAGTTTTTCTATTTTTAATAGAGAAGGGGTCTCTTTCTCAGGCTGGTTTTGAACTCCTGAGCTCAAGCAATCCATCTGCCTCAGCCTCCCAAAGTGATAGGATT